TTTGTGCTCACAGATGGTGAAGGTGTGGCAAGATGGCAGTGTATCCTCAGAAGAACTACCAGAGTCACAAAGGGCACGAGTCCATCTCACCACCTTGACTGATGCTCTTCCGCACTGCACAGAAGAAATGGGGTGGCTGTAGCTCAGGTGGAAGAGCAGGTCACCTACTAACTGGAAGGTTGGTGGTTTGATCCTAGTATTTGCTCCAGTCTGCATGCCAAATCCCATGTTGCTCTCCGGTGCATTCAGGAGAGTATGAATGCATGTGAATGTTAGATAGAAAGCACTTAGAAAAAGCATAGAAACAGGTGCTAATGCAAATAAGTGAATGTACAAGTTGTGTAAAGCACTTTGAGTGCTCAGAGTATAAAAGCGCTACATAGGAACCAGTCCATTTTGTCACTTCATGACATTCATACCAACAAACAGACGCAAGCACATCTTCTATCCAGACGAATATGAGAAGTATTACTTATTTCTTCAAGATGGTGAAGCAGAGCAACAACAAGAACTCTGGTAAGTCTTTATAGAGCATTTGATGCATAAAAAGCAACAAGAAAAAGTTGTTTTGTTTTTTTGCAGTTGATTTTACTAAATAAAATGGCTATACAAATTAAATTTCACATTTTAGAAGCATTTGGGTTTTTGTTTCTCTTTGTGTGTGTGTCGGGGGAAAGATTTTCTAAACGGTTCATTAAGAAATATTTTATGGCTGTGGCACCACTGGAGATAAGAGAGGGAGAATAGAAAGTTTATGTTTCACAGCAAATGAGCTGCTTGTTACTGATGAAGAGCATACACAATAACTGTGTCAGTCACACCTGCAAGATAAGTTTTTGAAGCTGCTTAGCAAACAAAGCTGACTGCAACTCTCTGACAAATAGATGAGGCAACTTGGAGAGTTCACTTTAAGCTCAAGTTTATTAAGCATGGATCAAACTTCATTTCACCAACTATTTTAGTTACATTAACAATGTTTATAGTATATTTATTAATACACAGATTAAATATCAAGAAAATAATTTTTAATGAGATTTTGTTAAATGTAGTTTAAATCTCGGTTTGGTTCAGATTGACATTTAAGTTTAAGGAAATATTGCCAATATTACAAATACAACATCCCTAAAAAGAAATTAAAAGTTAACTTGCTTAATTCCAAATAAAACAAAATATACACCCTACAAAAATAACCTACCTAATCACCACATAAACAGGAGAAAATTAGGGATAA